TAATACTAAAATGATTTGTTTGAGGATTTCATTTATCCTGGTTTTGGAGACCGTTTTTTCGTGACCCAGATGGAACCATGCTCCTTCTTTTCTCCATGGATTCAGAGGATCGAGAGGACTCCAGTGCACTCCAAAGATTTTTCAGGGAGATCCTCCAATGCCCTAATCCAGTGAGTTCAAGGCAAAGACCCTGGGATTTCAGTAAGGCATTTTCAGACCCACCTTTAACTGCAGGTGTGGGAATTGTGGTAATGGCAAAAGTGGGGGAAGAGGTTGAGAGAGGACATGCTCAGAATGTTCAGCAAGGAACCCTGGATCAGTATTTCCTCTCTGCACATCCCTGGTGGGATCCAAAGAACATGGCTCAAAGACAGTTATTGACTGGATATCAAAGATTAATTATGTTTGGGATAAAACATGCTATTCCGAAAGCTATGGATATGTCAAAGTTATATCAAGAGGTTCAAGGAAAAGATGAATGCCCTTCTGATTTTCACCAGTGACTCACTATGGCGTGGCCAGAAAGTACAGGGACCTGCACCCTGAAAGGGAGGGAGATGCATTACAGTTAGCAGCAGTATTTTTGGGACAACTGGCTCCAGATATTAGAAAGAAGCTTCAGAGACTGCAAGGGGTAGATTCTAGGTACCTGAACAGATTATAGTAAAGAGCTCAGGAAGTATAGAATAATGTCAACAATATCAAGGAAAGCAGGAATAGGAAACTCCTAAAAGCGTTTTTGAGCCCGAAGGCCAAGGGCGAGTTACAGAACAAGAGATGGAGACACCCAGGGAGGGGGGCTCTGACAATCGGCCTCTGGGTAGAAATCAGGGGGCAAGAGAGAAACAGGGGGATCATTGGAAGTGTGACCGGCCAGGAACAAACAGGCACCTCCTGACCGGGCCACAAGTCTTTTAACATTAGATGTAGCATGGAGGGAACCAGGAGAGTCATCCCCACCTGAAACCCTGGGGACCCTGACACTGGGGAGTGACACAGGTAGATTTTTCCGGTGGATCTAGGGCAGCTTCTTCTGTACCATATACACATAAAGGAACCTTAGCCAAGATACTGTAAATGTCATTGGTGCCCCCAGGAAGAGCTAAAATATGCCATTTTTATTACAACCCTTAAAATCCAAGACAGGTAGGGAGTGGTTAATGAATCAGTTTCAGTAGATGCCTGAATGCCCAATGCCTTTGTTAGGAAGAGATATTTTGAGTCAATTAAATTCACAAACAATAGTTGAAAATTGACAAATACAACTATGCTTTTCTGAAATTCAAGCTCTGGAGGCTCGAGTTTTCTTTGTGTTGTTAAAATGCAACCAAATGCAGTAGAGAGAATGACAGAGGAGGTGAAAAACACTGTCACTGTGTTGATGTGGACCAATGGAATTCCAGGGAAATCAAAGCAGTGGAACCAGTAAGGATTCTGTCTGAGCCTGATGGGCAACTGTTGGGCAGAAAAAAATTATTCTTTGAAGTCAGAAGCGAGAAGAGGGTTGGAGGAATGAATTACTAAGTTTTGCAAGATGGATCACTGCGGGCATATGAGCCACAATATAGGACTCCTCTCCTGCCAGTAAAGGAGCCACATACTAATGAACACAGGCTGGTACAAGATGTCAGAGCTGTCAGTGAAATAGTGTGAGACTTAGACCCCGTGGTAGCAAGCCCTTATACACTTTTAAGCCCAGTTAAGTAATCTGATGAGTCCTGATGAGTCCTCTGTTGTGGATGTTAAGGATGCTTTTTTTCTGCATTGCCCTTAAGGATGCTTTTTTTCTGCATTGCCCTTGAAACTGAAAGTCAACTCTTGTTTGCCATTCAATGGAAAGTTACTTGATGGGCCATGAAACCCAACTGAAGTGGACCTATTTTCCTCCAGGGTTCAAAAATCACCCCACATTGTTTGAGAACTGTCTCAATTTGAGACAAGTTCAGAGGAGACAGGTTTCAGCAGTCCCTCTCACAACAAGGAATGTTTTTGAGGAAAGTGAAAAAAGCTGTTTATTTAACACACAGTGTTGGGGTGTGTTTTAAGTTTCCCCCAGTTCTGGTTGCTCCCTCTCCCCCTCTTTTTGTAAAATGGTCCAGCCTCCCTTCTCCTCCCTCCTCCGTCTGCCTGTCATTCCTCCCTCCACCCAGTTCACTGTATTCCTGCTGAGTTATTCCCCCCAACCCCACCCCGGAGCCTGTCTGTCTCTCAGATACCTCTCCCTTCCACCTAGAAAGTTCCATCCAGGGCTTCGAGTGATAAGCTGGTCTCCGGGGTCCCCTCCCTCCCTGCTACCTCATTGGAAGTTTCCCCTGTGTGTCACCCCTGTTACCACGCCCAGTTGTTATCCCATTGGTTGGCTGCTGTTTCCTCTCC